AGGAAGGCTATCTGGTTGATCCTGCCAGTGATCATATGCTTGTCTCAAAGCTTAAGCCATGCAAGTCTAAGTTCAGGCTTGTTCCTTTCGGGGAGCGAGCCGAAACTGCGAACGGCTCATTAGTCAGATAAGGTTCCTTGGCTAAAAGCGGGTCGGTTTTAATGGATAACTGTGGTAATTCTAGAGCTAATACATGCAACGCACCGTGGTCCCCGTAGTCTTCTCGTCTCGGGGAAACGGCATTTATTCTCTGGACCAGATCGCCCTAGCCTGCGAAGCTACCGTCAAAAGTAGCGACGGGGCGAAGCGACAAGTGTTGAAATCCGAATAACTGTGCCGATCGCGGGGTCTTTCCGGGCCCCCGACGACTTTGCCATGAAGTGTCTGTCCCATCAATTGGCGATGGTCGGCGACCTGCCTACCACGGTGTTGACGGGTAACGGGGAATCAGGGTTCGATTCCGGAGAGGGAGCCTGCGAAACGGCTACCACCTCCAAGGAGGGCAGCAGGCGCGCAACTTACCCAATCCCGACACGGGGAGGTAGTGACGAAAAATAACGTGGCGGGGCCCTTTCGTGGTCGCCGCGGGCGGAATGAGCGCAATTTAAAAGAGTGTGCGAGGAGCTATTGGAGGGCAAGCCTGGTGCCAGCAGCCGCGGTAATTCCAGCTCCAATAGCCTATATCGGAGTTGCTGCGGTTAAAAAGCTCGTCGTTGGATCTCGGAGGCGGCACGGTCGGGCGCGATACGCTGCGGGTCCGACCGGCGATTTCTCGGCCGTCCCTAACCAGCGCGCGGGGCGAGGTGGACTTCGCGGTCCTGCCTCGTTTTTCTCCTTCACGGGAGAGAACCCGCCGCATTTTCTGTCTACCTTGAAAAAATTAGAGTGCTAAAGGCAGGCTAAAACCCCGAGCCTGAATATTTCGTGCATGGAATAAGCGGGGATGCTCTTTTCCGGAGGGCGGTCCGACCGACTGGCGACGTCGCTTTCGCTGTCGGTTTCGCCGGAGAGCTAGGATTCGAGAGGAACGGTGGGGGGCGAGCGTACCGGGCGGGGAGAGGTGAAATTTTGTGATCCGCTCGGGACGACTCGAAGCGAAAGCGCTGGCCCCGGACGTCTTCCTTAATCCAGAACGAAGGTGGGTGGAGCAAAGACGATCAGATACCGTCGTAGTACCGACGGTAAACGCTGCCGACCGGGCCGCGGACGAGGCTCGAGAACAGCGGTTATGGACCCGTCCGTGGCGGCTTCGGGCAACCTGAGAGTTTACGGGTTCCGGGGGTAGTATGGTCGCAAGGCTGATACTTGAAGGAATTGACGGAAGGGCACCACAAGGAGTGGAGCCTGCGGCTTAATTTGACTCAACACGGGGCAACTTACCCGGTCCGGACATCGTCAGGATTGACAGACGCTCGTGCAGTTCTTTCTCGATTCGATGGGTGGTGGTGCATGGCCGTTCGTGGCTGGTGAAGTGAAAAGTCTGGTTTATTCCGCTAACGGGCGAGGCCTCGCCCTTAACTAGTCGGCTCGTGGTTCTCGAATCGTAGTCTCCCTTCGGGGAGCAGGGAGAACATCGGGCGAGTCGCAGCGATCGTCGCTACTTCTTAGGGGGATCCCGAGCAAGCTTAAGCTAGGTGAGAGAGATCAATAACAGGTCAGTGATGCCCTTAGATGTCCGGGGCCGCACGCGCGCTACACTGAAGACGAAAGCGCGAGTGCCTAC